GTTTGTCTCGAGACTTCAGAACAAATGAGCGTGACAGCACACATAAACTCAGAAGAAACACACTGAGGTAAAAATTCTGAATGTTTAGTTCATATTCATAACATGATATAGTTAAATAACATCATGACAAGTGAGCTATTTTGCTCAATATTCTCACGACGCAAAAAATAGCATGTCAGCTGATCGAGATGAATAGCGCAGTCCGGAACGCTGTTGTTGAGCCATGTTTCCGTGAACACAAAAACACAACAGTCTCTTACAGTCCTCTGAGTTGAGCGTAGTAGTCGGATGTAGTCCAGTTTATTGTCCAAAGAGCGTACGTTAGCCAGTACGATGGTGGGGATAGCTGGCTTGTGTGGGTTAGCCGCTAGCCTAGCCCGGATACCTCCGCGCTTACCCCTCTTCTGCTTCCTCTCACGCCGCTTGTGGCGCCTCCGCTGTGGGCGAGATGCAGTAGTGGGGGTCGGTGATGGTGTGGGCCTCCGGAGCAGGCTGAGATCCCGCAGCTCTTCGGCGTGCGCAGAGTTTAACTCTAAAAATGTGGTTCTGCCGACATCGAGCAGAAACTCACGACTGTATGCGCGCTTCGAGACAGATAGACGCGACGAATACGTACAAAAACACTGCGACTCACAAGACAAAAAACACGAAAACACCTTTCTATCGGGAGAGAGAGAAGCCGCAGCGTGTGAACGCGCCGCCATGTTTGTATCATTATCGCAACAAAATAAACTCTGTGTTCAATCAAAGTTCATGAAATTTACACGTTTTGTCCATCAAGATAATCTTCACATAATAATATAACTTTTATGAATTTTGAAGCCTAAATAAAAGCGCCAGAACTTAAAAGCTAAACGTAGGCTATAAACGAACTACAGCACCACAGTCGCTCGCTCGCCTTCAACGTCACCACCACCTGCTCCCAACAACTTTTTCAAACTTATTTTTAACAATGTTCAGTGAAAAGGATTTACTCTGTATATGAATTTTAACCCACGCTACATGAACCTTTTCATATAAACTGGAATAAATACAAAACTAGAGCCAAACTAAAACTGAAATGAGACCTTGTTATAAATCGTATTGTGAATAAATGAAATAATCATAACTAAAGGACATATAAAAGCACGTATTTCTGTACATTTCAAAACAAGGTGCATTAAAAGTCAATAAATCCTTTATTAATATTAATATTTTAATTATGTTCAGTGAAAAGGATTTACTCTGTGTATGAACCTTTTCATATAAACTGGAATAAATACAAAACTAGAGCCAAACTAAAACTGAAATGAGACCTTGTTATAAATCGTATTGTGAATAAATGAAATAATCATAACTAAAGGACATATAAAAGCACGTATTTCTGTACATTTCAAAACAAGGTGCATTAAAAGTCAATAAATCCTTTATTAATATTAATATTTTAATTGAAAAAGTATCTCCACGTACTATTCAATAAAATTCTAGTGCATTTATTCTATTAAATAACAGCAGCGTGAACGAGGTTTTGGATATGATAAGATTAAACTTATTTTAGTGAATAAAGTACCACATTTCAGCTGTCATTTTGTTAGGGTGGGTAACGTTACACAAAATGTTATTTTATCCTTACTTCTAGAAAATCCTCAATCTTTCTGCTTTCTATCAGCTTCATGTGGCTGTAAACATTTAATATTAAAGGTGACATATTATGCCCCTTTTTAATAAATCAATAAATCCACTGCTCTGTTGTCTCCTCTGAGGCTGGGACTCTAAATAGTGTTCTGTGTTCGTCTGTGCTGCCAAAGACAGAACAGTTAGCACGCTTTGCTCAAACTTTCGCCATGGCATTAGAACTGTACACCGTTGTCGCTTGCGAAATCAAAATGACGGCGCCTTGAGTGGAAGTTTACAGATTAAGGGGCGGTAATATTATAATGAGATCCCTTTGCCACGTCACCAAGGGAGCGAAATCAGACGCGCTCGTTTTCTCAGACGCTTGCAGAAAAAGGCTTACCAAAACAAAGTGATTGGGTTAATCTTTTTCACGTTTCCTTGGTTGGTAGATGCACCAGGGACCTGATTATAGCACTTAAAACCTGGAAAAGTCAGAGTTTCATGATATGTCACCTTTAACGTGGCTTTAAGCGCTATGCATTGTTAAAGTTTCACTTTCACCGTGACGGTAAATCCGGTAAATGTGATGTTTACATGGAATAATCGTAATATGAGTTTACCTTATGGTACGAACCCAGAGTCTCTGTATCAGTAGGAAAGCGATAAAACAAGCATCTTCCATCCGAACACTTGTGTTGCATTTCGGGGCAAAGCAAAAAAAACATTGTCGAACAACAATATAAAATGCGGGAAACTATTAATTGGTTATTGTACAATTAATTGTACTATAAATTATACTACAATTGGAAAATAATGTAAATTGATCAACTGTTCGGCGTGATGATGTTTAATGTCTCCGACAGCGCCTGTAGTCCCATTTAGCAACTTGTTAGCAACCGTCTTTTTTAAGAAAAGTAACAGTTTTAAAAATTCACGAGTGGGGTGTAACTGGTGTGTTTTATGTCGCAGAATAAAACGTGAAAGTATCTTGAACTTGTGTAAACCACGGACCGTATTTTAGAGGATTTAACCAAACTCCCATTCAAAAAACCCATCGACTCTGGGACAATGGAACCGGAAGTGCTAAAATGCTAACTTGCTTCTGGGTTTTTGCCTACAAAGTGACATCATAGTTCCACCACTCTATTGTAGCTCATTTTTAAAATTCATACGCTTTGAAGGCCACTTTAAAGTTTGTACCAAGCTGACATTATTACTTTTTAAAAAATTATTATTATTATTATTTTTAAAGCAAATATATGATAGCTTGACTGAATAAAATCAGCTCTACACTTATAATTAAGATCAATTTAGTAAAAAAAAAAAAAAACGAACTCTTGACATTTTTATGTACCGGTTTAGTGATTTAAGCTTCATTTGGCTCCATTATTGAGCTGCTCATTTTTCAAATTCATACATTGCCACTTTAAAGTTTGTACCAAACCTGCATTGTATTACTGGGCTGTGTGTAATGTTACTTTTTTCAGTTTTTATGAGTGAATGTATGAAAACTCTCCTGAAAACATCAGCTCCACAACAACAACAAAAATATAATTGTAAAAAAAAAAATGCCTCATGCACTTGTTCAATGATTTTAGCATTTTTTGAGCTGCATGGGTGAAGATGCATAAAAGCTTTCCTCCATGATGAAAAGTGAAAGTCAATTTAATAGGAAAGAAAATCTGAACCATTGTGTGTCACAAGTTCAAAAGGGATTTTTTTTAAATGCACGGCAATTCTTTTGACAGCAGCTACCATTTGTGGCGGTTTTACATCAGTTCCATTAGTACTACTGATTGTGATGGTTTTATAGCAGCCCCATTTATACCACCTTTCGTGACACTTAAAGCAGCTCCATTAATACTGCCTTTTTAATGGTTTTACAGCTCAAGTACTTTGATAGCCTCTTAGCCGTGCTAGCCTTAATCACACTGACGACATATGATTTCACTCTTGTGTCAGATCACCTTGACAACCATCGGTTACGGTGACAAGACCCCAAAGACGTGGGCAGGGCGTCTTCTGGCCGGGACCTTTGCTCTTATTGGTGTGTCGTTTTTTGCTCTTCCAGCCGTGAGTACAGCTTCTTTTTTTCCTAAAATGCATTTTCGCTGTTACAAATTACAGTATAATTGCTAGACTATCCACCTTATTTTCAACGTAAGAGCAGGTATGGCCATTTGTAATTTACGGTGTCATTTGCTTCCAGTTATTATTCTAGCTCTACAAAAACAGTCTGTTATGTTGTTTGATATTGCAAACATTTAATTTATTCATTCATCTTATATAAAATATTACTGACAAAACTCATTATATGCATCTTTAACTACACAGTTTCATATGAACAGCAAATCAATCAGTCTCACAAGATTTAACCCTATTGAAAAAAACAGCATATGCTGGTCAGGTATGTTTTGAAGCATGGAAGCTGGTTTGAGCTGGTTTAAGCTGGTCATGTGCTGGTCCTAAGCAACTAGCTCCTGCTCAGGACCAGCTTATAACCAGTTTAGGACTGGCTTAAACCAGCTCATGACCAACTAAGGACCAGCTTAAAGCAGCTCAAACCAGCTGCCATGCTTTAAAACATACCTAACCAGCATATGCTGTTTTTTCTACAGGGAAGTGCAGCACAAATTGTAAGCTGAATGTGTTTGATTCACTTACACAAACTGACTCATAAGAGAGATCCGAGCAGCTCAATCCTTAGCCATCTTCAAGAAAAGGCTAAAACCACATCTCTTCCATCTTTTTTTGACCCTTTAACACTTGCACTCTCTATTCGTTTTCTAATTGCTTGTTTTAAAAAAAACACTATTCTTTTTCTATTCTATCTACTTGTTTTCTTCTTATTTATTATATAAAAACAAACAAAAAAACACCTTGCTACGTGTACTGCGTTCGGCTAACCGAGACTTGTCATAGCACTTGCATATTATTGCTCTTTTGTTGGTTTTGATCGTTTCTGTTGTCCTCATTTGTAAGTCACTTTGGATAAAAGTGTCTGCTAAATGACTAAATGTAAATGTAACATAATTCGGTTTGGAAATGGTTAGGTATGACAGTATGCTATTTTAAAATAGCATACCAGTTTATGCTAAAATCTGGTTATGTTTGTAGGGTATTCTTGGTTCTGGGTTGGCTCTGAAAGTTCAGGAACAGCACAGGCAGAAACACTTTGAGAAACGCAGAAATCCTGCAGCTTCATTAATACAGGTAACCAAAAACAAACTTAAATCAGCAGTAAATTCACCCCTTTAGGCTCATTCCTCCACTGCACATTTGCTTAATATTCAATACTGAATATTGATTTCAGGCTGCATGGAGATACTACTCCACCAACCCCGTCAGAGACGATCTCATCGCCACATGGAGATTCTATGAAACTGTGATCTCTCTGCCATGCTTCAGGTATCATACACATACATCGCTCACAAAAAAAATCATTTGAATATATTTTAGTTTACAGGGACTTGCCTTTATGTTGGTCGTCATCATCATGATTTCATGTTATGCCTGGGTTGTTTTATGATTTCACAGATACTCATGACAGATTTCACTTGTTTTATTCTCATGATTTTACGTGCATCTCTTTTTAATGTTCATTTATTTTGTTTATTTCCATATGTGTGTTTGTCTGCATGCAGAGACAGCATCATCTAGAGGTCTGCTAGAGGTTACAGGGAGGTACTCACACCTGTGCGTGGACAATTTACTTTTCCATCATAATTGTAAAAAAAAATTATTTGGTTAGAGCCTGAATACAAGATATAAAGTGTATTAATATAAGAAGAAAAAAACATTTGCAGTAAATAAGCAATATTTGAGCATATTTATATCTTCTCAAAATGTGAAATTAGCTTTCAATCAATCAGTGCAAAATGTGGTGCTTGTTTAATAATTTCTTGAATTAATGCAGTCTCAAATAATCACTACTGATTATCCGGGACAGGGACAAATGCATACAAATATAGGTCCATTTTACACTTTTAAGAGCCTGGACACTACTCTAATAAATGTAATTTATTTGTTGTTTTAAAAAAAATCTGTCGGAAAACACAAAAATGTTCAGAATGTCTTCGATTGACTAATGGCTGAGTTTGGGAGCAGGACTAAAACTTTTAAATACATGTCTATTATCTGAAATAACGCGAAAATAAAATAAGATTGAAATATTACATGAAAAACATTAAATGGAAAATAGGAACGTTGCTTTGGCAACTAACTGAAATAAGTTGAAGCACTGAAGTGGCCAACTTGAAATAAATAAAAACTAAAACTGAAATAAATCTAAATTAAACCCAAATAGTAATTATTATTAAATATAAAAATAAATGCTAAGTCTTGAAATCTTTTAAAAATCTATTTTAAATGTAGCTGCTGTGCTTCCTTACTGATACTTGGCATTGTGATTTCAGTTAGTAACCAATAAGCAAACTATATCTTACACTATTCTATTGATATGTTTCATTATTTTTGGTACATTAAATTAATTTCAGAATTATTTACCAATATTACCGGTTATATGAATATACGTTTGTGCAAGTGTATACTCAAACACACTCTAGTGGTCATTTGGTGCAAATGAAGAGAGTTTTGTTGTCATAAATGTGATCTGGTCAAACTAAATATGTGTGTTGTTTCTGTCACCTGCAGGAAGGAGCCTCTTGAGGGTATGGCTAGGTAAGTCTCTCTCTCTCATTCCCTCTGTCTCTCGCTCACTGTTTTAAAGATTTACAACATCTCTGGGAAGTGTGAGATTAATGAATCTGTGAAATGTGTTTCCTTAAATAACTCCTAATAATAACCACCACCTCCATTAATTCAGTGCCAAAGGCGTAATGACCAGCAGTGCGTTTCTGTGTGTGTGAGAGATTGGGAGAGCTCGTTTCTCAGTTCGGGGACACGCGGACAGTAGTTCTATATGTGATATTACCGAGTCCATTAGAAAAGAGTGAATTATGGATCACTGATAGATGACGGTGTCAGAGCAGAGCGAGGGAGAGGGAACATGAGTGTGTGTGGGAGAATTTAATGGACGGCTGGATGTGTGACGTCCGTGTCACTGTAAGGAAAATGATGGCAACTGTTATTAGTGATCTAAGCATGACAAGCCTTGACAAAGATGGACTGCGTATATAATAATCATGAGTATCAGTTGTCCTTGACCTGGACACTGGCCTGACAGTCCATTTGTTAAAAGACGGAAGATTTACAGATAGAAACAGAGGGAGAGTTGGATTGAGTGCTGGGCTTGTTTGTAGCGCCTGACCCGAGTCCTGTAATCCATGTTCAGTCCAGATCAGAGATCAGATTACACATTAATACTGCTAATACATTAGTCCAAAAAACACACACCTACACAAATACACACCTGCGCAAATATCCACATACACTGGGAAACTTGTAGCTTGACATTATCACTACCGGTGACCTACCAAGCAAGTCCAAATGGAGAAACTAAAGCAAACACGCACACTTTTAATTTAATATCATGGTAAAGACTTTTTCGTTCACTTCAGTTTTTTTTTTTGTACTGAGTTGAAGATATTTTCTCCACCTAAGGTTGTGAATCGAGAACTGTTTTTTCTTCTAATTTTCTTGATGTTTGGTTTAGCTAACTGTTCTTGAATGTCTAAATATAAAAACAAATAGATAGTCCACATTTCTATTGCATTGTCCTCATAGTCCAGTATAGTCCAATTCAGGAATAAATGACTCTTATGAACTGATTCTTTTGAGTGAATCACTGAAAATGATTGACAGATATGACCTAAAGAGTTCAATTATTGACTGGTTTTTCATATGACAAAATGTAGTTAAAGATAAACATTCAAAACAGTTTTGTTGTAATAAATGGTCATTTTTTGTTAAAAATAAAAGTTACCAGAATATGGAGCCCATATAGGGACACGGAGATGGGAAACAATATTATATTTTGAAGTTTTCGCATTCGCTCACAAAACTTGCGTTCTTTTGCAAAGGTATTGCATTCCCCTAAGGAACTTTGCATTCACAAAATTTTTGCATTCTCTCGTTAATGTATATGCTTCGCTGAGCACTGTTTTTCCTTCCACCTCATATTATTTCTATTATTCCTATTTTGCAAGGGCATGCAAAGTTTCTCAGGGGAAAGAAAAATATCTGTGAAAGAATACGAACTTTAATGGGGATCACAATGGTTTTGCAAGTGAACACAAAGTTTCTCAGGAGAATGCAAAATATTTGCAAGCAAATGCAAACTTTATCACGGGAAAGTCTTGCAAACAAACACATTTTTAAGGAACACAAAAGTTTGCGGAAAAAAGCATTGTTTAGCATTATTGTTTAGTTAGACTAATTATTGAAAGTAAGAGCTGCTTTTTCAAAAGTGCTCAGTAAAAGAATCAATAATGGACTTGCTAAGTTGAATCAGATTCCTGATTCCTTATGACTTCATTTCCTGACCGATACTTTAAGCCAAAGCTTCACACAACCTTTCTGCACTTTTACATTTTTATTAAAACATTGTCTAGTATGCAGGTGATTTCAGGTCTTACCATCCATTTACAGACATTTTGTTCCCAAAATGTAAGCAAAACCTGACCCACTGGTACAAATGCATACACACACATACAAACAAAGCCAAATGGCTAGGAAACCTGCAGCCTGACATTATCAATGACCTACTAAAACAAGTCCAAAATGGAGAAACGACCATACACACACTGTTAAGTAGCTTGTGATATTTTGCTCCATTCATTTTTTCATGTGAAATCTATGCGTTGATTCTCTTCCTGTCTGTTCTCACGTTTTCACTGCTTTCCTGTATGTCCAATGAATCTACAACACATAAACACACAGAGTCACTTTTCAATTATTAAAACCCTCTCAGACAGTTTGAATTGACTGTAGACAGATTGTGTTTTGTGTGTGTGTGTGTGTGTGTGTGTGTGTGTGTGTGTGTGTGTGTGTGTGTG